TAGAGCATGTTGGTTTATTGGTTTGTTTTTTATTCAGTAGCAGTCAAGAGGCAACTTTGCCGGCCTCTTTTGACGATCGTCAAGGCCTTTAGTGGACTAGTAGCTAAACTGTCCAGCAAGATTATAATCTTTAAAGAAAACTAACAAAATAATGAAAACTAGAAGTAAAAAGTCCAAAGCCAGAGTCCAACTTGGGATTACTCCGACTATGACTGTGTTTTAGATTAAAGCAAGAATGTTGTAGTGAAATGAGATAAAATATGTGAAATATTTATAAAGGGGGAAAATCCCACAAACCTCAAAGTGCACTTGAAAAGCTCGCAGAAGAAGGCTAACCTAGCTTACCTTGAAGGTAAGAGAGCACGCCCAACCCCCACCCCCAGAAGCAGAAGCTAACCCCAGGAAAGGCAACGTGACAGGCAAGGCAATGTCATCTGGACCAGCTGTCTTCCCACTCTTCATAGCAGCCCTCACTTCCTCCTTAGTAATCCTTTGTCTTTCCTTTAAAGGTGGAAGTACTCCTTCCACTTTTAAAGGACACTCTTCACTTCTCCTTGATCACCCTAACCTGTTGCACAACACTTCCAGCTCAATCTCTTTGCTTAGCCAGTTGATAAAAGTCCTTTTTTCCTTCCTTAGTGTCTAGCCTCACGTACAATATCAGTTGGCCGTCTTGTCCTTAAACATCGGATTATTGTGCTGAATTACATGATTTGACTGTAATGACATCTGTGTGATGGGCCACCACATAAGCGCCCAGACTTAACAGTGTAAATCCTGGCCTGGTGATTTTTATGACGAATGTCGAATTTATAAGACAAACACAAAAATGGTATAGAACTCGCATTTTATCTGTCAATAAACTATGCTAGGATGGCTATATGAGGCAAAAGATATTTTTTCATATATTTGTCAGAAATACTTGTCAGTAGTCAAAACAATTATGACTCACATGGATAATATTGGTTGTTTCTTTATTACTTCATGGGTTACAGAGTGATTTGGTCAGTTATTGAGAATACAAAATGATGAACGCATTGATCCTGAAGCTGACGCTTCATCACACGTACTCTGGTGTCACTACAATCTGGTAGATGAACTGGTCATCAGGACAGGGATAAGGAAGGACCTGAGTAGCATTCGCAGAGATGGAAGCCATATTGCCTTTGAAGTCCTTGATCTGACAAACATACTGGCCCTGGCAGACCAGCAAGACCCGGTTACGAAAGAGGATTTCACTTTGGCTGATGTAGCTTTGGGATGTCAGCTTTGCCACAGGAAAAGACTCACATCTCACACGATGGTTTGAACATTCATCCCTGTTGATGAGAATATTTGCTTGCCACCTCTTTACAGTGTCCTTGAAGATGAGGCTGTTGTGAACAGGTGTGCTAAATGACTTGGATCTGGTTTGACTGTAGGAAGAAGTTTCATAGCCATAGCCGTGGATATAGCGGTTATTGTAGCGCTGCCGTTTGTCAATCGGTCTTGAGTGGGTTTGAGAGGAGGATGTTCTGATTGAAAGATCTAAAACGATGCTCCAGGGCTCAGCAGTGTAAATCCTGGGCTGGTAATCCTTATTTTCTTTGCCGAACTTTTGCTTTGTCAGATTACTGAAGAGGAGCACGTTAAACTGAAAAGCTTTCAACATGTTATCACGATACACGGTCTTGTGAGTGCTGTAGAGCAGAGAGCTGGACTCGATCACATACAGCTTCTCAGCAGGAATCAGAGGAAAACGAATGCGTCCCAACAGATCAGCCTGCGTTTCCAAATCGACGGAGTCGCCTTTCTCACTGATCCATCTCTCTACAGACTGCAGCACAAAATATTCATCTGGCGCCACCAAATCTGAGCGAGTAAGAAGAGCTCTAAGAAGCCCCACTGAGAGGCCGGACCAAGCTGGAGACCTGGTCAGGTTTTGGTAGTTCCAGGCCATGTACTGGACACAGTTCTCCTCAAGCACTAAGTCCTTGGTCTCCACTGCATACTTGTAAAAAGACACCTGGTTGTGAAAGGTGGAGTCTTCTGGGAGGATTTTAGAAAACAGTCGGCCAATGTCCTCCATCAGCTGCTTTAACCCAAAATTAGAAGCCATTTGGTGGAGACACAGTGCAGAGGAGAGGGTCACATCTATCTTACGGGTGTAAATGTACCTAATGAAGATCAAATTATCGAATATTAGAATGTTTCATGTTTGAATTTGTACACATTTGTAGATGATTGCAAAACATTTAGATGTTTTAAAGAATAAGTCATCTACTGCAAATGCAGCAAAACATTACGTTCATTATACCTGATGAAGGAGGTGAAATGTGGCTGGCAGGTCAAGCTGAGGTTGACTGTGATGTTAGTAATCCCCACTGAAGCATTAAAGAATGGGATTTGTGACAGGATCATTTTGTGAGCACAGATGGTTTTCACACTTATCTCTGGGGTCCCATCCTCCTGTTTGTTCCCAGTAGGACTCTGTACTACGATCAGGAAGTCACAGCCATTTCCATCATCAAAGATTTGGCCGAGAAAGTCAGAAAGAATGATACTGTGGTCCAGTGATTGTGTAGAATCATTAATGTCCACATTAATGCCTGAAAAAGAATAATTAATTAAGCATTGATGCCACATACCACATCAGTGCTACTATGGGTTCTACATAAAGTTTGTTTTGTAAGAGTTTTGATACCTACTTCCTGTTTCACAAATTGCTCCAACATCCTCTTTGTGCGTGCAGTCAGTTTCTCCCCAGCCTTTGAATTCACAGGTGAAGAGATGTGTTTCTGTGCCTTTACAGTTTACATCATCGAGCCAAATAGGTCCAGGTGCTACAATGGAAATAGATGCAACACTCAAAAAAACTGAATCATCTTGCCATAACATATTAGGCAGCACTCATACACTCACCTACCCTTTTGCTAGGTACACCTTGCTGGTACTGGGTTGTACCTCTGGGTTGTTTACACCAAATTCTAACATTAGCATTCACATTGTGTAGCAGAAATCAGGACTCAGCACACCAGGAAACAGTTTTTCCAATATCCTGATGTCCAATTTGGGCAAGCCCATGCAAACTGTAGACAGGGTGACTCAGTTTGTGCAATCTGAGCCTGCAAAGACCTCTGGCATCAACAAGGTATTTTTGCCCAGACATCCGATACTCACCGGATACTTTTTCTTTTTCAGACTGTTCTACAGGTGCTTGTGCAGTGAAATCCAAATAGATCAGCAGTTTGTGAAACACTCACACCGGCCATCTAGAACCAACATCCATGCAACATTCAAAGTCACTGAAATCACCTTTCTTCCTTATTCTGTTGCTCAGTTTGAACTTCAGTGACTCCAACCATGCCTAATTTCCTAAATACACTGAGTTGTGATTGGTTGCTTAGAAATCTGCGTAAATAAGTGTACCTAAAAGTGGTTGGTGAGTTTACACATACATGTAGAGTTGCTTTGTTTAAACTGAAATCACAAACTACAATTTCAATCATTTCACTGCCCTCTGGTGGTGGATCAGTGGAAATAAAAGCCACCTTGTCCATAGTCCTTCCCAGTCACAATAGATTTGGCTCCAGGGAAGTTGAGCTGGCGACACAAGACCCGGGCGTCAGCCATGTCCCAGTTGTCGTCACACACTGTTCCCCATTTCCCATCATGGTATATTTCCACACGGCCCTCTGACACGTTCTTAGAACCGAACAGCCAAACAGCCTCACATCACCTTCCCGTGGCTCATGATTTCTGTCTATTCAAAATAATAAAATATATATATATTTTAAAAAGAGTAAATACATACATTTTTATTTCATATTGAACAATATTAATATTGTTAGCTCATTTTGCATCCTGTAAAAGATCAATTAAAGCAAAATAAAACAAAAACCTATTTTTATGACATTGTATACCAACCCTTAATTTTGTATTTTGCTTTTTGGTTTTTGTTGCTCTCTGAACCTTTGAATTAATTAAACACACTTTTATTTAGATTTTGCCAAGAAACTACAACAATGAAATGACCGTCTATGAGTAAGCACTTGGTGACAGTGGGGAGGAAAAACTCCCTTCTAGCAGGAAGAAACCTCCAGCAGAACCAGGGAGGGGCAGCCATCTGCCACAGCAGCAAGACATTAATAATAACTGACAATGTTCTGAAAACACTGAGAAAGCAATCAATCACTGCTGTATCCCACAAATGACTTCATTCTGTGTATAAAAGGTGCCTGATATGAGGTACATCAGTTAAAAACTATTCCAAACCAGCCAGTACATTTATCAAAGATAGTCAAACAAGACTGCATGTAAAGAGAGCACAGGGAGAGTTTCAGGTCTCCAAAGCCCGAGAGCAGTTATGTAACTAACTAAATGATCATAGTCATTACATAACTTTGATACTAACGTATATTATTTACACTTTTTTTTATTATTATTATGTGTAATTATAAAACTAGGAATATACTTAAAAGTATTTGTGGTTTGGATTACTCACTCAAAATGTCAAATTTGTATGCCCTTCCAGAGACATACAGAAGTAGGAGAAGACAAAGACTATTTCGAGGCGGGAGCATTTCCAACAGCTAGTGTACGACTCTAACACAAAGACAAAAAAATAAGAAGCAATCAGAAGAAATGACACGTGCTCCATCTGCTTTCCTTTACGTCCTAAAATTATCCTCCAAAGAATAAATAATCAACCTGCTCAGTACTTCCAAAGAGTTTATACTATATATTTCCATGAGATAGAGAGGAAGATCTATTCAAATTGAAACTGATAGCACAAAAAAAATTAAAAGGTGAAACTTTAAATACAAACTTACCTAAATCCTTACGTGCAATAAAAATGCATTACCTTCTTTCCTGTGGTTACGAAGTTGTGTTCGAGGTCTGTGAGCACATACCTGATTGCACAACTGCTCTTGGTTTAACAGGAACTTGTTTGAGGACAATGTCTAACTTTGGCAGATTGCGTTTTGAACATGTAAAAAGATATGACAGGACTCAGAAAATAGGAATTAAGATTTTACTCAGTCACCTCGCTCCACACACACGCACACACACGCACAAAAAAACCCAAACAAAACTACATAGGATAAAATCACCAAAACATTCTTCAAACAATATACAGGATTAAAAACAAGGCTTTTGCTATCCCACTGACAATACTCGTGTGGACAGAGTGATACTATGGAAAACAGAGCAAAGGGGAAAAACCTTAGACCTTCTGAGTGTGTATAGTGTGTGCATAAAGATGAATTTTCCAGGGGAAAAAAACCAAAGCAAATCACAGTCTGATAAATTAGCTTTTGTACATTCATTATAAGAAAGGCTACAGTACTGTTTAAGCCCACATTTGGCCTAGGAAGAACGCAGTCCACCACAACCAGATCCGCACATTCTTGAAACTTTACTCTTTCAGCCATTAGTTCTTTTATTTGTATTGACGATGTCGCTTCAACGGTTGGAGTTATGTGTTTTAGACTCAATGAGGAAGCAGCGAGTGCAAAAAGTTCAACAGTGACTGTAAACAAACTGGAACCACAGTGAAGTGGCCTCAAGTGTGAGTGTCTCTGTGTGTGAGTCCTCTATATAAACTCCAAGCCCTCATATTTTACATCTCCGATCTTAGTTTCAGGCAAAAGGATGCGCCCATCAAGTGTGAAGGCCATAATGTACGTGGCAATCTTCCCAGCGTCCTCTTCAGACTTGAGCGCCAGGATGATCTGGTCATCAGTGTTGGGGACAAACTTGAAGGAGGAGAAACCGTGGGTAGGATTAAGTACACCCACTCGGCTGACTTTGATGTCGTTGAAATCTGGCGAGCAGCTAAGGACGAGGTTCGCGCCGCGTCTCTCGTCCGCCGTCTCTTCGTAGCGCTCGCTGCTCGCGCGGCGAGGAAGGAAAAACCAGCGCTGTAGGGTGTCGCTCCATGCTGCAGACTCGTGAATCAAATAGCCTGAGAAGATTCGGGGAAATACGGTAATGAGTAAAGCACGGAGATGGAAACGGAGGCGGCTGTTGGCAAGATCAGATCTGCGTCTTTACCTGGTTGCTCTATCCCTGCGGCGGACTTCAGGGATTTGTACTTGGGAACCCAGTTCTTGTGCTGTACGTCGCCTCTGAAGCCCACGACTTTCACCCATTCTGGATTGTTGTTGACAAATTCGCCTTCAGTGGTGGTCCACTCTTTCCCGAGACCGCCAACATACAGGTGCTCGTCCTTCACTGCCAGCCATTCGGCTTTGAATCCTATCAGATGAAGGCACCATGTAAATGCAAAGCAAATGAAAAGTGGAAACAAATCATCTAAAAGTACACAAGATCGAACTGTTAAAAACAGAGATATCAGTGCAACGCCAACCTTTTGCAACGCTGCCATCGCCATCGGGTAAGATGACCCAGGGTACAGCCTTTTCTCCATCTATATGGTAGACTACACCCGTTCTGTCATCGACACTGTAAAGCTTCCCATTGAACACCACCAGCTCAGACAGCTCCATGCCCCTGCCTTTCTCCGACAGGTGGCTTTCCAGCACCACCCTGTCAACATCCCATTCAACGGCCACCTTGTCACCGCTCTCTGACACCAGCAGGTACCCCCGCCGCATGTAGCTGAACCACGTCATCTTCTTGTCGCTGAGAGAGCTGGTGTCCAAGTCAGCGATGACGCCGATGCGATAGCGGGTGCCCTGCGCCGTGCGCTCGGGTGGACTGAGGGGGTAGGTGTCGTTGTACTGCAAATCCGACTGGTGGCCGTCGCTCGGGTTGACTCTCCAGCTGCGTGAGCCATAGGAGCGGTACCGTAAGCCCGAGCTGAAGTGCATTAAAAGCAGCAGGATTAACGCCACAGAGCCAGCTACTGCCACGATGGGCCTCCACTTAAGGCGGAACCGGGGGTCGGTGGCATTGGCCATGGAAGCCAACATGGGGAGGCCTCCTACGGAGATACGCAGCGGGTTCATAGGCTCATTATGCTCAAGTCGAGTATAGCCTGGAGAAGCAGGCATGGGGGAACCAGGCTTGGAGTGACCTACAGAAAAATAGAGAGAATGTGAGTTCACTGTCAGAGAGGCCACTGGAAAAGACTTCAGTCTGGTTCTCTGGTGTCAACATGGAGGTTATTGGAGATCGTTTTTTCAGCACCAAGCCACAGTGAGGTCATCTAGTCACATAAAGTAGCTCTAGCCCAGGTGTGTCGAACTCCAGGCCTCGAGGGCCGATGTCCTGCAGGTTTTAGATGTGTCCTTGATCCAACACAGCTGATTCAAATGGCTAAATTTCCCCCTCAACATGTCTTAAAGTTCTCCAGAGGGCTGGTAATGAACTAATCATTTGATTCAGGTGTGTTGACCCAAGGTGATCTCTAAAGCCTGCAGGACACCGACCCTCGAGGCATGGAGTTTGACACCCTGCTCTTGCCCTTACGAAATGAACACTTATCATACCTGTGAGCAAACACCAAAACTAAAACAATGGGCTTGGTTGATCCTAAACCCCGAGCAAAAGTCGCAACTTCGGCTCGTAGTTAAAAAACAACTTTCCAAAATGACAACGCAAAAGTATTAACAATAGAAAAACGACAATTAGTTTTTTAACCAAAAGGCTCATTTTAGTCATTTCTCTTAATCCACAAATGATAGAATGAACGCAATTAAAACACTTCGACTTACACACTTCCATAAGCGATGGCAGGCAGATGACTCATTTCAGGTTATAGTTTCATTCTTTTTTTTTGGTTTAATTATTCTACTAAGTGTTAGAGTCAGAGCGGACATAAGCGACTCCACTGGTTGAACATTGATTGCTTAGAAGGAGGAAGAAACCGGTCTAGGTGAATATCAAGCGCCCGACAATGAGTCTTGTCGACGTGGTGATGGGAGGAGCTTGCTCTGAGGTAATAAGAGGGCAGCTGAACAAGTTATTCAGGAAGTACACAATCACTGAGCAACTGTCACACTGATGAGCTGTCACATGTAGTGTAATGATATGGTAAGTCCAGCCGCTTTAAAGATATATTCAGACATCTTCTGTCATATCTGAATATATCTGATTTTTTGTGTGCGTGAGCCGTTGTTCAAATATATAAAGACGACTGAAGAAGAACAGAGAGTACAAATTATTGTCATTCAATAAGCTGTCAGAAAACTGAAAAATCCTGCCCTACCAGCTGTCCAAAAGCACATCGTATTAATTAAAAATATATAAAATAAAGATTGTTACAATTGGATTCATCTGTCAGGACCTTCTGTCCCTTCTTCACTGTTTTTATTTCAGGTAAATCATACAAACTTGTGAAGTTTTCACCCCTTTTTGAATTGCAGCGTCCTAAATATTTTGTTTTCGGATAAAACACGTGATAGTGAGATAACAGATAAATAGCGGGATTAATTGGGAATAATTTAAACAACGCATTTTTATTTTACTCAACAAGCTCACGTAGAGCTGAAAGGCCTGTAACTTGGGAAAACTACATTCCTGTTATTTGCTTACACACCCAATAAACTAGTGCGTGTGACCTTTCAGCTGAATCAACACAACCCAAACACAGCAGTGGAACTGTCCGCTGTTAGAGGGTCTCCTGAAAAGCTCTGCAACCCTAAAGCTCCTCTGAGCCCAGCTGCCGCAGGATCATACCCCGAAACCTGAACGCGTTTCTTAAAGGGGAGCAGGAGCTGAAAGGCTCTTTCATACGAGGGCCCTGAGCCAAACAGCCGTCCGTTGTGGCAGCAGCATCGGGTCTCCCTCTCTGAGGCCCGCCACTGTACCTACACTCAGTGAGTGGCTGAGAATAGAAACAGTGTTGCTGATTAACTGTTGGTGTAAAAATTGCTTGTGCCCCACAACACAATAAGATGACGCGGCTTACCCCTTCGTCTCCTCCTGCCCGCACGCTGATCCTGTGTCATTAAGTTTACTCCACGAGTCCTTCCACAAGTAGTCCTGAGCTCGAAAGCTGTCTTTCTCCTCACTGATCATTTGCACTGCAACCATGACTATGTTGTTACAAAGCTAGTGAACTTTACCTACACTTGGAGGATTATCACCAAGTCCAAAGGGGCAAAGCCTCTTGAGAGACAACGCAGTTCATTCAGTTTGTTATTAATCACCGCCTATAAATGAACAGGTACCGAGGGTTACGAAAACCTTTATTAAGTGCTCAGCGACTATCGGCATAAAGGTGAAAAGCCACAGCCCTGGACATATGAATAGAAGTTAGCTGCAAACCTACAATCAGAGGCGTTCCTGTGATGTAATCATTACACTGAGGACTGCGAGCAGCATAGTTGCGCAGGAAACCTCACTGACTCTGAGACGCAGTAATGTCTGTTAATAAGTGATTAACACCTTCTGGGCTTTAGTTGGAAACATGTTAAGAGCACAGACAGCTTCTTAAAAAGCAACCTTTCAGCTTCTCAGCCCGATACTTTTATGTTTCAGGTTCCCCACACAGTGAAGATGACCTAATAGACAAGACTGCAGCACTGGGTGATAAGAAGACACTTAAAAGTTTGGGATGAATTTGAAATAGCCTTTGTTTTTAAAGAAAAGCATAGACGTTTCCCTCTAATATAACACTGAACTGCTTAGAATTGGCATCCTAGCTGATGGTGATGATGGTGAAAGGCTGCTCATTGGAATGATCACGTTCCACTTATGTTAACAAAGCTGACGGCATTTCTCCTAAAATGAACCAATAGATTTGGCTAGTTGTGTCTCTGCAGCTGCACCGCACCTCAAAACATCTGTTTGACAACATCAAACAAGCAAAATTAAAAACGTAAGAGTTCAACCTGAGCATCAGAATGGGGAAGAAAGGTCACTGAAGTGCCTTTTAACTTGGCATGGTTGCTGGTGCCAAGCTGATGATTTTTCCACACAACTATCTCTAGGGTTGTGATCCCTAGAGGATGGGCCACAAGGGAGAAAAATACCAGTGAGTGGCAGTGGGTGGAAATGCCTCTCAGAGGAGATTAGTCTGGGCTGCTTCAAGTCGTTAAATGAGCACTTATTAGAAGCAAGGTGCACAACACATTACCCCTTGAAGCAGACATGCTACAGCAGCAGAACGAGTGAGATGAAGACTCCAGGAACACTTGTGGCCTTCATCGGGGTCATTCAGGCCACAAGTCGAAATGTGTTGGCCTGCTAATAAAGTTGTTCCCTAGTGTTTCATGTGTTGCTGGAGTCTTCACCTCACCAGGTCCATAGTGTGCCATGGACCTCTTCACGCACCTTGGAAGTAGGTGAAGTTGTGCCAGAAACGTTTGGATCTCTACAGCAGCAGAAGACCACACCAGGTGTCTCTCCTGTCATCCAAGAACAGGAAACTGAAGCTACGGTTTACACAGGCTCACTAAAACCGGATAATAGGTCAGAAAAATGACAATCAGACACATTATAGTCAAGCATTTTAATCTCTGTTTGCAGGTCTCTAAGTTACTTGAATAATTTAAAGTTCTCTAAAGTTCTCCCCTGCCTGGTAGCAACTGTGCATAATGTTGAGTAAGTGTCCATTCAAACGCCTCTCTGACCATAAACTTGCCTCTGTGCTCCCATAAACGATGACATCTGGTAGGGCTGACCTTCAAAGTGTGTGTGAGGCCAATAAACACTTTTACTGAGTACTTTAACTCGGGTTTTAAACACCCTGCGTGTCAAGGAGCCACAAACAAATGTGCATCACACACTATGGACCTGATGTTACGTGGTTGCGCTGTCTGCAGATTCCCAGAAGATAACAGAAGCTGCGGGTGAACCAGGACAATACCCAAGTTTTTATTTCCAGGCCTTTAAGCGCTGAGACACTAAACCTGTAAGGGAATTAAATGTCTGCCGGACCATCATAGTTGATTTTCTCGGTGAAGAAGGCGAAGCTTTTGGACTGACACACGCGATCATCTCATTTGCAAGCGTGCTTTTAGCTGCTGTGGCTCTCCTGCCAGGAGCTCAGAGGTTAAAACGCAGATGCCGTCAGTAACGGCCACCTGAAACGTTTCCGATCAAACCCCTCCTCCCGCTTCGTTACTCACCGCAGATGTGGGATCTTCAGCTCTCAGTCCGCCGGTGGTCGGAGCTTGGATGTCATTATTGTGTCGCTTCCTTCCTCGGCCCCTTTTCCTCTTTTTGCGTTGTCCGGACAGCCGATCATTACTTCCTATGTCAGTTTGATGACGACAGCACCATGTCGTGCTTACGTGTAGTCGATGCAGAGGGAGGGGGGGAGAACGCTGCCTTCAGGGGCTGTCGGAAATATGACAACTTAAAGTTTCAGCCTCTGTGAGAATTATTATACTTTTATTATATTTTATGGATTTCTTTAGAATTTAATTTAGTTTTACATACATTAAATAATGCAAAGAAAGACCAAAATTTAAACATGTTTCTCTATTAGTGAAAAAAAAAAAAACAGAATAAGGAATGCAAAAGAGACTTTGAGATGTTTCATTTATCTATTTAAATATTGTGTGTTGTGTTGTGGATGTTATTTTTTACGATGTATTTTAGAATCTTTTTTTATGTTTTGGGTTGTGTGGCTGCTACCTTGGCCACGAGATCACATCGATCTTTGTTTCTTTTACAGGTTGTGTTTATCAAATTTAAGAAGTTCAGAACATGTGTCACATACACACTTTGCTCAAAGGTATAAAGGCTTTATACCTTTATACCTGCAAGCCTTTATGATAAAGGCTTACAGTACTGTAAGAGATAAGCTACTATTCCATGTTTATTATGATTTATATTATTGGATAGAGAAGATAGGTGTTAGAATATGAGCATTCACTCTAGATTTTGTGTAGATTTCTCAAATAAAAGTATAAACCATTGTCTATTTAAGTTTGTTACAATGAAAATTCTGCCGTAATTAAGATAAAACCTAACTTTGAATATATTACTTTGCTTTATTGCAGTTCATTTTTAATTGATATATTTTATTTTATACTGTTTTAAGCCTTACTTTTTAAAAATTCCCTTCAGGGTTGCATCAGGAAGGACTACTGCTGTAAATCTCAAATCAAACGTGGAGCTTCCCGTTGTGGTCTCCTCTTAAGACAAGGGAGCAGCTCTCACTTCTACTTACTTTTATTTTAACCTATAATGCATTACTCAAATCTTAGCACCTCAGTCGTTGTCTGGATCCTGCTGTCTCCACAGCTCAAGTGTTCCTCCACATTTACTATTCAAATATTTGACAAAGGTACAGAGGCAGGAACTGCACACAGTCTTGCCTTTTCTTTTAAAGAAGTCTGACTCAGAGTTTTAAAACCTGTTTTTATTTGGCACACTCCGTCTGATACAGGATCACTGTGCAAGGCACTTTAATGAGGAACATTTGCAAAGCGGTGACAAAGCAAAAGTGCAGAGGAGAAGAAAAAGCAAGAGGGAAAAAGTAATGTGGAAAATGATTCGATTTGATTGTCATGTACCTGAATTTAACAGTATTAAGAAAGAAAATAAATACCAAATTTGCCACAACATCAAAGAATTGCTAAACCTATGGCTGAGACATTTATGGCATTGATTACTTTAAAAATCCTAAGCAAAGAATTCAACAGAAGAATCCAATACAAATCAATCAAAACACCTGTAAAAGCCAAACTATAAAAAGAAGCGAATGTGACAAATTAAAATGTCAAACAGAAACAAACTGAGTTTTTCAGTGCATGAAAGCCTATTTAGTGGTTGATTACTTAATAAAAAAGACAAACACGTGGCATTACAGTAGTTATAGACTTCAGATACTTCTGATCTACCAACTAATTGAATAATATGAGTTTGCAATGTGGTGAAAGAGCAGTAT